AACCATCCCAGATGACTGAGTCATGAGCATTTTTTCTAGATGAATACATGAGGGTTTATAGGAGAGCAAGTAATTGCTCTTTGTGTGTGCCTGGGATATTATTTCATTAAGCAAACTACTCCCTGCTCGTGCAGAAGCCCTAAGATCATGCAGCTGCTTGTGCCAAATTAAGTTTTTCTTAGGGTTAGAATGCAAAGTCAAAACTCTTGGGTCCTTTTTCATTAGTATGCTCAATTTCTGACTTTGTCCAAAGTCCCCATGATCTCTGTGCATCAGTTACCATCTATTCAGTGGAGCTCAATCTCCCTTTGTGAGGGAACAGATGTGGAAGCCCAGCATGTGGGGCCAAACCCTGACCTCGGCTCTGTGATGTCACTGGGGGAAGTTGGACGTGGTGTCAGTTTGTGTCTTTATCTCTGCCTCTCTGAGTCGGTAAAACATTCTCTGATAAAAGCTGCCCTATAAACACAAAGTGTTCCTGTGACTCAGGTTCACTTTTGCTTGGTCACAGATCCCACATCTCAGTGTCCTTACTGATGAGGTAGGCGGTTGTTGCAATTCTCTTTCCTACCTCCTAACACCTGAGAAGAAATCACTTCTGCTCTCACACTCAGGGCACAGCAATCCACTTACACTTTTGACAAGAAGGAAGTCATTAAAATCTTCCTACACTGCACCTGCACAGGGAAAACCCATCACACCTTTCACTTTATTTTTCTTCCAAGGCAAGGACCTCAGCTTTTGGGACTGAAGGCACTTCTCTAAAGCCACAATCAGCACAAGAGAGAGTGAGTGCATGGGGAAACAAAGTCCCCTTCTCCATAGAAAGAAACTGAATAAAAAAGGGGAAGAAGGGAGCTAAGACTTCATGCTGCTGTTCATCATGGGATGCTGTTAGAATAAAATCACTGCGTTTTGAGAGAAAGCAGAGCATTACCAGTTACATTTTTATCATCGATTTTGAGAATATTCTATCAATTTTGTGCATGTGTAAGTTGCCATACAACCTATCAGCATCTAGCAGTGTTTTGTTTTATCCCTATGGTAGCAGCTTATCCTCCCCATATATTACACTTTATCTATAGTAATCAAGGTTAGTGATAGAAAACTGCACTTTGTAACCCCAGGCAGCAGAATGAGATCCAACCAAGCAGCACTGAGCCCCACACCCTCAGTATATGCATGGACACTCCTTACCTTGCTCCAAGCCAGTCCGGAGCCACCAACACCAGATGTGTTCCAGAGACCTATTAGTGCACACTGGAAGAGCATATTTATGATACCACAAATATTTAAGTGTGGTCTCTACAAGTGGGAGGAGAAATTGCTCTCTCCAAAAGTTTTTTGGCTACAGGATTTCCCTATCTTGCCAGCCTCCCTGTGTTCCCCCGTAGCTGCGGGTTTGTTGGGAAGGCCTCAGATAATCATCTGGCATCTCTTACAACGCTCATAAAAAGAGCTGGTGAGAGTTTCTTACATCTTATCTTACGTACTCAAGTTTCCATGGGACAAAGTAATGCTTCCAGAAGAGGAGGGGAGCGTGCAGCTGATGCTTAAGGTTCGGGAGGTCCTGCCAATGCCTTGTGGAGAGCTCTGGCCAGTTCTGTCTCTTTGCTTTCCTGCTAGGAAGGTTTGTCTTTACTAATCTATAGTGTGATTTTTGAAATGAGGCTTATGAAATATGACTTTAAGCTTGATATTAAATCTCCTTTTTAGACTGATAAATGGCTTTCTGGCAATATATTGCTTTATAGAAGGGTCACCTTTTCCCCTAGCTTGAGCGAAAGCCAGGCTGAGCCTCTGTGAAATCGAAATGATCTTTGTCCCAGAGTTTACATCTTCAGCTGAAAACAAGGGATCAGATTCCCTGCCTCAGGCTGAGTGGCTTTACCCTGCAAGTAATCCTATTGAAACCAACGGGACTACTTGCAGAGCTGAAGGATGTGTTGGCACAGCATAAGGGCTGCTGGCTGTGGTTCCAGCAGCCATTCACTCACATTGTTTACTTCTCTATTAAAAAGCTTCCAACACCTACAGCCACTGCATGCAGCGGGACAGAAGTGCAGTAGCTTTCTCAGGCATAGAGAAGACACAATGACCAAATGGTGCAGGTCTGGTCATTGCATGTTCTGGGTTTTCTGGTTTTTGGTTTTTTGGTTTTTGGGTTTTTTTTTTTTCCCTTCATCTTTTCTACCTTATGGAATGGTAGAATGGCTTTGGTTGGAAGGGACCTTAATGATCATTGAGCTCCAATCCACTGCCCTGGGCAAAATTATCAACCAGTAGATCAGGCTGAACATGGGACAGATCCCATACGACTCTTTCCTGAGCAAATTCATCTGAGTAACTGAAGTACCTGTCTTGTGCATGACACCAATATATCTCTGCATGTAATGTCATTTCCTCATGGCATTAATATGGTTCTGCATATAAGCAAAGAGAAGGCAAAAAGGAGCTGTGCAGAAGACTTCCTTGTGTTGTCCGTTAGCTTTCACTAAAACTGGCCTGCAAATTTCAGAGTGGAAAAATTTTCCACTGGCAAAATGCCAGACTGATTAAATCAAAATGAACTTCCAAGCAGAAATCAGATGAGTTTCTCAGGTTTCCAATGAGCTCAGTGGGCTGTGAGGCTGCTGCTGAGCCTGGTGATGCAAAGAGCCTCTGCTCAGTCCCGTTAGATCCTCAGCTCTGTTAGGTAGCTGACAGCTCATCACCACTATATTTATTCAGGTATATCAAGCAGTTCATCAAGCTGATGTAATCCACACCAGTCTGGTCTCCTGGGCTGGGTGAGGGTGCTCTAAGGCCATGCTTTGCTTCTCCAGAGCCTGCAGTGGAGTTCAAGAACCCAAAGCTCTACTGCTGAAAACAACTGGGCTGCCCTGAATACCACTCACTCCAAACTGGTTCAAAACACTCCAAAAATTACTCCAAAAAATTGAGGCTGGCATATAAATAACCTGGGGACCCCTGCTTGCCCATAGGGGATAAATCTTGGATGAGTCCAATTGTTAATTTCTAGAAGTCTCTACTGAGTATATATGATTTCTCTAAGATTTTATTTCTTAAAAATAGATAAATAGTCCCCCTCCTTTTTTTTTTTTTTTTTTTTTTTCCCCTCCCTGGTGCCTCATTTCTTCTATTCCTATCAGATCACCTCCCTTCTTGTCTGTGGGGATGCCAGCAGAGCAAAAATATCACAGATAAAGATCTTTTCATCCTCCATCTCAGTTACCTCCTTACTGCAAGTGTACCAAAGCAGAACTTCCTCTCCCTCCATATCTATGCAATTGTCCAGCATGATAGAGGTGCTCTACAGAGAGTCAATCTTTAGTGAGCTTTCTTTCTACTGCTTTTAAAAATTTATAATATGTAGGATAAATAGCTCTTCCCCAAGAATGTAGATCTGGATTGTTTTTTAGTACAGAAAGATGGGGTAATGATCAGATGGTCCTTAGCTCCCACCTGAGGTCCCCCAGCCCATGATCCTGGACATGCTCTTGCTCCATACTGGCCTTGGTGTTTCCATGCTGGCCTTTATGTGATGTCATTGCCCAAAAAGTTTCTTCCTTTCAATCCCAAGGTCTCTTCCCCTGTGAAAAGTTGGCAATGCAAGACAAACACTCGTGTGTGTATGCTGCCCTGCATTCGTATACATGGTGACAGGCTTGCTATGCTGACTTAATAAAATGAGCTAACAAGTTCTCATGAACAATATTAATATCTAAAGTAGTATTTCATTCTCTCCAAATTAAGATGGTTTTTGTTTTGCTCTCATAAAAATCTGCTGGTACCCTGAAATGGATCAGTAGTGACATCCAGTGGCCACAACCTGAGACAGCTGTAGCAATTTTGGTTGTGCTAGAGCAATTTGGATTTGTTGCTACTTAGAGGTATTGTGAATTTCTTTTCCTTGAAGCCCTCGCTCTGCTCTGCCCCCACAATGGAGTATTCTTGCCCCATTTGGGCTGAGCCTTATTTGCTCCACAAAGAAGTGAGTTAAAATCTTATGGAAGAACTTGGATTACCTGCACACATCACCAACTTGCCAGTGTCACCAGCACCATCACCACCATCAGTTTTCTTAAAGGGCTTTGGGACTCTTGGATGATTGTTTTCTCTTTGGCTTCTTACCTTCTGACAATGCTGTCTGAACAAAGCGGCTGTTTTCACCGTACAGAGGTTTTACAGATTCAAGGTTTGTGTATGAAGGGGTCAGGAAACAGCTGGTAATTGTTGGTTGGTTGTTTGCCTGGTTTTGAGGGGATGTGTATGAAATACACAATTTCCCAATGCAGACACTGATTAAAACTTTAACAGCACTATTTTCATAGTTTTAGAAGAGGTACGAGATCTTGTAGCCCAACCCCTTCTTGGCAACCCTACTTCATGAGTGATTTTTTTCTTATTGAGTGTTATCTCAGTGTTCCAACCCACAAAGTGCTAAATACAGCAGAGCACATACCTCAAGCATCCAAACAGCTCCCTGACCTTGAGCAGCCACATGCACACACACTTTCTTGGATCAGAGCCACACTATTTCACTTCTTGCTGATCCAGGATTTCAGAGTGACTCGGTTGCTGATCAAGAATATGCACTGGGCCTCCGAGCCGTGAATCAGCTGTTTCGTGGGATTCAGAATATTTGGAGAGCAGCTTGTTACTCTTGCTTAGTGTGTTAGAAACATACCTACCAGCTCTGTGTGCAGCCGGGAAAACAATGCATCAGCTCCTACGCATAGAATGCTTTCTACTTACTAAATGTGAAACTGGAAATTCTCAGCTCTCCCTGAAGAGACAATATGCCTTTCTTAACCAAAGTGCTGACGCTGTGACTCTGTAAATCCTCAGTAGAATAGTGTTTCTCACTTGCAATGTAAGAAGTTAAATTTACAGACGCCCTGACAGCCTCCTGCCTCTTGCTGAATTCCAGGCTGAGCTGACTGCTGCGGTTCAGCCCAGGGTTCAGGCAGATAATCACGTTACTGTTGGGTAAAGAGCCGCTGTGTGTTCATTGAGGCTGGGGGCTCAACCACACGTGTACTTCCAGACCCTCACAAACACATGGCAAAAATGCATTATCTTAAATCTTTTTTTTTTTTTTTTTTTTGCTGACATGTCAATGAACACATTTTTCCTCAAACACGGGACAGGCCAAGAGCATCTGGCTCCACTGACACACGGTAAGTAACTCATTACACTGCAGGAACTGCCTTGCTTTTGAACCCTGAAATGCTCCTGCCTGTTTTATGACGCTCATGTACTTGATTAGCACTTGAGTCAGGGCGTTACACCAAGGCGCTTGAGCACTGAGCCAAACCTTCAGCCCATAGCTGTGGGAAGTGTTGGGTTAAAAGCCCTGCTCATTACTTGCTGTTTGCTTTTAGAATGTGGATGTTTTGAGAAGTGACAAAGTGTACGGAGTCTAAAAACGCACATACAGAAACTAAAAAGCATAGGCAAATAAGCCAGCCCTTCAGGTCCTGCTAATACTTTTTGTGAGATAGCAGGACAATAAACCATCCAATCAGCCTGCTCAGGGTGGGGGCTTTAGGGCACTGTGATGACAGTTGTAACATGTGACTTTTTGTTTTGCGATTATAAGCATGGCTCTCATTTCTTCCCTTCTCCCATTTCCTGTAATGCTTGTTTACTTACTTAGTAATGCTAGTCCTCCTTCAGGATTAAAAGATGCTAAGGCTCCAAATAGGACACAGATGGCAGCAAGCTCATATCATTTAATGCTAAAGCACCAAATGCTTATAATTATTTTTATTCTGCTAGTACTTAGTCATGTTGTAGATCATTCATATTAATTTCTAACTAAGATAGGTATCTTCAGAAAATCATTACTCTGGTTCTTTCAGGAAAAAAATGGGATCATTTCTTAATTAATCATAAATATTACACCCCAAAAACTTCCAATATTACAGTAATAAAGTTACTATCTCTCTCTTAATGTGCTGAACAGAATTCTTTATCCATAAGTCTGGTTCTTGCTAAGGAAACAGAAGCTATTAAACAGTGACTGCCTCCATATACTCTGAGCCACTGTGTGAGCCATTGCCTGGGTAGCCTGCTGTAACAGGGTTTTAAACATCCCATGAGCCAGCACAGATTGCCACTGATATATGTCAGATTTTTCAGTAACATCTGAAAAAAAATACCAGGATGTAATGGAGGAGTTAGAAGTGGAAAGTTTTATGTAATCGCTGCCAGGTTGGGTGGTGAAACTGGTTGAATGAGAGGAAGGAAGAAAGAAATAAGGGAGCAAGGCTGGTCTCTAGCATTTTTTTTTTTTTTTATGAGACGGTAAGTCTGGTAGGGGTAAATCTGTCATCCTATAGGAAATAATAGGATTAAACTTGGCTGAACACAGTGCAAATAGCGAGATTTTCTTTCTTGGAGGTTGGAGTAGGCCTGGCAGTTCACTAAGAAATCAGACTCGAAAGGCATGGTTGGATTAGTATATTATTATTGTTATTTCAAATCTCTGGTATGGATATGGTCCTTAGGTGACACATCTACAGAAGAAGTATAGAGAGTGGCCACTGACCGAGGAGATAAAAGGCAGTGAGCTGGTGATGTATTGCACTGTCTGGGAATGTGCTGGACTTCTTGGATGCTCCAATCCTTCTCCAAGCCTTGAGATTGTTGTGGGGAGGAGGAAAGATCACTACTGCTACCTGATGTTGGAGATGCAAGACCTCTTTCTTAATTTTTTTTATAAATACACAATATAGCACTGCCCAGCTCCCTTGACAAGGTCAACTTGTGTTGAGTACAGCTGGAACAATAAAACTGCATTGTTATCTGTTTCATGTAGGCACTTAAAAGGCAAGTACCAAACCTAAGCAGGGGCAACTGGTAGCAATACAGTTATGTTAGTAGGGCTTGAGTTCATTTTTTGCTTATTGCTCCTAAAACTATCACCAAAAAAGAAAATAGTGTTTGTGAAAAAGAAACAGCACCTGAACTGTTCTTTTAAAAATTATTTTATTTTTATTTTTTATTTATTTATTTGTTGCTGTGCCAGAAAGCTCTGTTCCATTATACACTGGAACTCCAAATAATGTATGAGTATTCCTTGAGAAGAAAATGCAGCACTGACCCTAAGGGCTATATAAGGGGACCAACCCAGATCCCAGTGAAGAAATAAGAGGAATATAAAGGGGCTGGTAAAGCACATAATCATGAACTAACCTAAGCTAGAAGAATCTGTGCATCTATCCAGTAGTGTCTCAACTATTGAGACAACTGGGAAATAGGTTAGTTGCTCTGTGTTGATGTCAATGCCACCAGTAGAAGTGGGTCCCCTAAGGGAAGTGGGGGTGAGTGGATTCAATGCTGGTTTTACCTGGACCTCTCACAGGTTCTTCTGAATGCAAAAAGATGTTGGCTTCCATTTATTTTCTTTCCATTACCTTCTTAGAACCTCTGTCATTAAAAACAAAAACAAAAACAAAAACAAAAAAAAAAAAACAAACAAAAAAAAAAACCAAACAGTTCATTATCTACAAGTGAGGGAACTTAACTGAGTGGTGGAAAACATAGTCATGCTCTTCAAAAGATGTACAGAAATGTGGATTTCACTCCCTAGCAAATGATGCAGTTGCATCATAGCTACAGATGAAAAAAGGCATCTGATGCTGTCTAGTTTTTTGCATGAGGTCAAGCTTTCTTGTGGTGGTCCTGACTCAGTGGGGGCTCACTCTGGGGCAAGAAGAGGGAAAAAGCTGAAATATCTCTTCATTGCAATAATTGCTTGAGTTTGCCTACACAACTATAAAGCCTTTCTGTTAACATCAATAAGTAGTACTGAAACTAAGCATTCAGACAAGGTATAATGGCAGATTATTGCCTATGAAGGAATTGCACTTAGGTTTTCCGGTACTTTGTTGCTAGATTTAGTGTTACATTACAGGAAATCTGAGTGGACAAACGTTGGCAAGACATAATGATCTAGTATTCTTTACTGTTCTATGCTCTGACTTTCTGATGCTGAGTTATTTTGCATAAAATATGGGCTTTGTGTCTTTCATTATACTCAAGAAGAACTAAGTTTTAGAGCCCACTGTTCTGGAAGGTGTGTATGGGGGATGAAGGTCCAGTCCATACGTGATAAGAAAAGATGGAGTTCTCCCTCCATTCTTAACCTACGTGAAAATATATTTTCTTGTGACTGTCCTCTCAGTTCTAATAGTGTCTATTTGGATCTACATGTCCAGCAAACTCTTGTGTTACTCATTGGCATCTTAAGGCACTTACTAATAACAAGTTAGCAAGTTTTCCTCCTTGTATTTCATCATTGTAGACAATAACACACACACACTGTCAGTAGACCCCCTGAAGACTTAGATGAGCTAATGAGCAAGCAGGTGCAGCTAAAACAGGATGAACCAAGGCAATGCAAAAAAAAAAGTCAGTCTTGTTCTCAGATAAAAGTAAGTAAAACAAAAAAAAAAAAAAAAAAAAAAAAAAAAAACAAATGCATTAAATTCATTGAGCATAAAACCTTCAGATGATAAGAATCAGCTATTGCGAATTCCCATCATTCATCAGGGATTCTGGACTAGTGAAGCATTCAGTACATCAGTGGTGTTGCTGAGTACAGTTGCTGACAGTTGGGCCCCACGTGTGAGCAGTGGGCTACGGAGAGGAGATGTGCTTGAGTGAAGATATGCATTCCTCAGAAAAGCTGTGAATCTGACATCTTAATAGCTAGCAAGAATCATTTTTTATTGTTTACCAGAACCGAGCGTTTCTAAATGCTTGCCTATGCTACAAAAGGGTTCTTCGTAATGCTGCAAAGTGGGATAAAAAGGAAGTGTGAAGCATGAGTCACTAAGCCACAGGGAAAGAAAGTGCAGTGTGAGAGACCGCAGCACCATCGCTTGGCCTGTGGCCCTTTTGATAGAGCATAGCACAGCTTCCTGCAATGGAACCTGAACAGGGGCTGCATTCAGCTCCCCCAACAAGAACAGAGGTCAAGGGTATTTATTCGAGCTGTCCCAGATGTGCCCACATGACCTTCATTAACAAATTATCTAAACAGCTTGTAATTTTCCTAAGTACATTTATCAGGTGTGACTTGAAGTCTTACAGAGCTAAGCTCAGTCTTTTCATAGGGTTTGGGTAACAGCAAAATATGGAGGATGGGAAGCAACTTAACTGAGTCTGAGGTGAGAGTGAGGGCAGGAGACCTGGTGTAACTACTTATGGGACTGTCCTTTGTCTTTGTGTCTGATAACCAAACAGTTACAACAATGTACTTAAATGTAGGGATGGAGCAGGCTCCAAATCCATTCAAAAGCTGGAGCCCAGGTACAGACTAACAGGCTGAGCTCAAAGAGTGAACAAGGTGGGAAGAAACCTATTTCTGTAGATAATGCTTGTGACAAAAAAAAAGAAAGTAACACCAAATACATATGCACACACACGCATAAAAGCCAGTCACAGGCAGTGATACTATCAATATTGCTACTAAAAGTAGAGAAAGTAGATGGGAAAAGTCAATGGTGTGTGGCAGAGCAGCAATAGCTTTTTAACAGACTCTCTTCACTGCTTCTGTGACCTCTTCCTTCACCTAAACTGGAACCTGTGCATGCTCTTAAGGGTGACTATCTTGTGCCAGGTGAACTGTTTTTGCCAGTAAATGCATCTTGTCAAGAAAAAATACTTAGAAACACACTTGCTATTGGAAGAGTCATGCTGATGAGAGTACCTGTAGGAAAGTAAGAAGAATTTGGCTTTGTAGAAAAGCAATATTTTCACTCTTCTGAGTGGGTTTCACAATTAACTTAGCATATTCTTGGAAATGTCCTTGACAGTGCAGTTTTAACCAAGGAGAAAACTGGCAAGATCATGTTACAGCATCAGATATACGGAGCAACTGGTGTGGAGGAAGTATTAATGCCCACAAATCTCCTGTGTAAAATCACGGACTTGCCTATGAACCTACAGTGAAGCAGGCTTCCTCCAGCTGCTCTCTGGCATGGATCCTGAACAGACCTTGCAGTTGATCCTACATCTTAAGTTACTCTTCTCCTCCCCCACACGCTGTTAGTAGCTGTACCCATTACATTAAGCATTTACAGAGCTGCTGATGGCTGCCCTTTTCCTAGAGATACAGACAGCTCAGCTAAATGCCATTGATGGGCTCTCCTAGGCTTTCCCAGTAAAA